TGATCTGACCCACCCCTGCTGTGCTGTGAGGTCACTACCTATGTCACACTGCCATGGCGTGGCTTGGTGACATGGTCTCATTGCAAGGCCCTGTAATAACGTCTCAGCCTGACCCTGGATGCAACAGGAGAAATTCATGCTGTTTTCCAACTCCTAGCTTAACTCCCCCACAAAGAAAACAGGCAAGGTATCTTATACAATTCAAATTTCAGCACTGTGTCCCATTGGTTCTTCTGGCTCTCTGCCAACCCCTTAGCAACCTGAGTTTAACCCTTTACTCACCAGGTGCTGGCCAGCACTCCTCCTGTCCATCACACTCTGTATAAAGCTCGTAATGTTTGCTCCCTTTATCAGCGAAAGAGATGCCCAGCTGGGAGCACAAACCAAAAGTGATTTTATTATGAATAAAAATTAGAATGTAATTGGTTGTAAGTGATAGCAGACAGATCAAAGTACATTACTAAGCAATAAAACAAAAACACACCAACTAAGCCTAATACATAAGAAGAACTCATTACAAACCATAATTTCTCACCCCACTTATTTCAGGTAAAGTCCTCCTCAAACCAGAGATGTCCTTTCTCCTCCATGCCTGTCATTGCAAGTCCTTGGTTCCCGGTGTTTTCATGTCCCCTGGTGGTGTGGAGAGCGGGGCGGGGGGCTGTGTGAAGCCAGTTGAGGGCCACCAGTGTTTACTTACCTTGCTTTTATATAGAATTTCCCTAGGATGGGAAGCCATTGTTCAATTCCCTAACCCCTCTGGAGAAAAGTAAACTATTTAAGATGGGTTCCAGAATCAGGTGACATGGTCACATGCCTCTGTAGCACATCTGCAGGAAGTCAGCTCTCCTCCACTCTGTTGCCTCTTGTTAATGGCTATTAGCGTTGTATCTGCCTTCTCTGCTGCTGTTCCTGATGGGCTGGAAATAGGCGTTTCCCACCAAGAACACACTGAAAATAGATCTACAGCCAACAGTCCACATTTCAGATGCAGAAATGGAATGTGCACAGAGCGCACACATTCAGTGGGCCACAAGCTTGCCAGTGCTGTGCTGCACAAAACAGACTGGAGTTCGGGATATTTATATTCCCAAGGAATAGGACATGCACCATCACAACCACCACGTGCACAGAGAGCATGAGGGGAGAGGCTCTGAGCAGGCTGATTGTCAACAGAAGGCAGAAGGGCAAAGTTAAAGCAACTTGCCAACGTGCAGAACGTGGAATGCGGGCGGCGAGAGATGCGGCGTTCCTGGCACAGATGGAGCCTGTGCCTACAAGCAGCAGTTGTGCTGGGGGGAGACGAGCCCGAGAAGGGAGCTCGTTTGCGGGAAGCTGCATCCCATGTGAGGGGAGGACTGGGTGGGAGCCTGACCAGGGTGCAAGCCAGCACGCAGGGGAGAGCCCTCCCAAGGACTGCAGCACCAATCTGAACTCAGAAGCAGGAGGCTGCTCAGGTGCATGTGGGGCCCCCAGCCCAGCCAGCATCAGCACCAGATGGGAGCTGCCGGGCATGCTGGGAGCGTTGAAGAGGGAAGGCCTGTTCCATGGGCATGCCCAGCGCAGAGCTGGCTGAGGAGTGAGCCAGGACCTAGGCTACTCAAGAGGCCTGAGTGCAAAGAGCAGAGCTGGGAATGAGCCTCAGCAACAGCAGCTCCGCTGGGGCCACAAACACGGGCCCCAAGGCGAGTGTGAGCATCCCAAGGCAGGCAGCCTGAGCAGCCTCTGCCCCGCTGTACTGAGAGCTGCACGTGCCCCTCTCCCTGGGGTGGCACATGGCTTCTGCCCACAGCGGGACCCCACGGCACCCGCAGTGATTTCCCACCACCATCACCAGAGACCCCCCGCCCTTGCTGCAGGCTGGGGCCTGTGTCCGCACAGCTGCTGAGGGCTCACGCTGTCAAAGTGGCAGGGCAGGTGCGGATAGCAGCCCTCCTCCCCCCAGCCCTTGTGTTTGGGTTCCCCACCCCACAGGCTCTGCACATCTGTTATGCTCTTAAAAACAATGAATGGTCATGCAGCACCTTTGTAGATTCGGCGAGGATCCTGTGGCACCTGAGACTAACTGAAGTGTAGGAGCATCAGCTTTCGTGGGCAAAGACCCACTTCGTCAGATGCATGTAGATTGTATCATAAGCCTGTTGCAGTCCTGGTCGTCACACCCTCCGCTGGCGAGGAGTTCCACAGGCCAGCCATGCGCTGCGTGAAGAACTTCGTTTTGTTTGTTTTAAACCTGCTCCCTATTCATTTCATTTGGTGACCCCTAGTTCTTATGATGGGAACAGGTAAATAACTTTTCCGTATTCACGTTCTCCACCCCACTCAGGACTGTACAGACCTCTCTCCTATCCCCCCTCAGTCTCCTCTTTTCTAAGCTGAAAAGTCCCCGTCTCTTCATATGGGACCCGTTCCAAAACCCTCATCATTTGTGTTGCCCTTTTCTAACCCTGTTCCAATGTCAATGCATCTTTTTGGAGATGAGGCGACCACGTCTGCACGCAGCACTCGCGTTGTGGGCGTCCCCGGGATTTAGAGAGGCAACAGGATGTTCTCGTCTTACTCTCTAGCCCACAGAGTCATTTTGGAGGGGAACCCCAGCAGATTCTCCACTGCAGTTAACCACAGTGATCCAGTAGACGCGTGTGCACACAATCAATACACTAAGGCACAGGGTGAGGGCAGCCCAGTGCTGTGAAGGCGAGGAAGTTAAACATGGTGCAGGAAGGAAGAGCTACGCATGCATGTGTGAGAGGGCCCCAAGGCCTAGCAGTGTCTGGTCTCAGGTACAGCTTTTGGAGTTCTTCCTCATGCTGGCAGCACCTGTCCCAGCCTTTCCATCCCTGCAATGGCGCTGGTCACCAGAGATGAAGGTAAGAGGGTGCCCCTCCAACAAGAAACTGGCTGGCTGGGGCACTTAGCTGCAGGGGGGAGAAGTGGGGCACTTCCAGCCCAGCTCTCAGGGCTACCTTCAGGCTGCTGCACTAGAAGTTGGCAGCCTGGCAGGTTAGAGGGGTTGGCCTGGGGGGTGCATGTCTGGGACTGCCCCAGCCCAGAGCCCCCGTCCCCACCACTGTTACAGGGAGGGGGCTGCAGCTGCACTTACCTTGTCACTGAGTGTTTTCTTTCTTTTTGCTGAGGAGGGCAGAGTGGGAGGGTGTCTGGCTGTGAGATTTGCCTCACTCCGTAGTCAGCAAAAAGCAGCAGCCAGCTGCAGTCCCTCCCACCCCCTGAAATGTCACCCTTGCCCCCCCTGCACTCACCCAGCCCTCTGCCCTGAGCTGCCATCTCCTTATATAGCCCCAACCTTGACTCCTGCATCCCCATATCCAGCCCTAGCACCTCACCCCCTATGTAAACAAACTGGCTGACCTGAGCCTCCCTGCACCCCACCCTTAAATTTCACACAGGTACTGTTGTATGCCTAACCCCCTCCCTGCAAGGGGGAGCGGGATGCGACAGGAGAGTACCTGTAAGAAATTTAAGTTATTCACCTCTGCTCTGAATAGCCATGCCACACCCCCTCCAAGGGGGCTGGGTTGCAATAGGGCAGCAGCACTAAGAATGCAAGTTACTTTCGCTCAGGCTGGTCGCTCTGCCAGTTACGTTCCGTCGCCCGACCTGTGTGACCCTTCTGCCAAGTGGAGTCGCAGCAACACGGGCTGGGTTCAGTAGCTCGGGCTCCATCTCAACAGGAGAGCACAGAAATGGCCGCAGCCCAGTAATCCGAGAACATTAAGCACCAACCTGGCTGCCTCCAAGAGGCAACGTTTCCCACTCACGCCCAGTGGGAGTCTAGCAAAGAAACCCTATTGAAAGAAGGAACGTCACCTGGCCCTAAGCTGGGCAAAGGACCCACGAGTCGCCCCCCCAGAGCACGCTGGGCAGTGTCTTCCTCCCCCCCCACCCCACTCACACCTGTTGTCTTGGTCTGGGAGGAGCCAGCGTTCCCAGGTGCAGCTGCAGGAATTGGGGGCGCTCCTTGCACACTCCACTGACCGGGTGCCAGCTCTGGCATCAGCTGCCCCGTTGGACCCCTGGCTGCTTGCGGCCCACCACTCCCCCAGCTGCACTCCGCACTGGAGCTCTTGCCAGCACAGCTCTGGCCGCTCACACCTAAGCAGAGCGGGGGTGTTTGTGTAAATACGATCTGGTCCTGATGCCTTCTCCTCCTGTCTCATCTTCAGGTGTCGCGGGAGAGCTTGTTCCAACCTTGTTTGCACTTCTTCGGACTGTTCATTCATGGCACCAATTACCGTAATAATACAAACTGTACTTACAGAAGGTCTTCCCCACGTGGGAGCCTTGTCACACTGTGCCCATGGGGCTCCAAAGCAGGAATTCTGACAATGCTCGGCCTGCTCGAGACAAGAACCCACCAAATCTCACAGACCTACCTGGGCAAACTGAAACCACATCATCAACGATCAATCAACAGATCCCGCAAGAGGGGTCAGCATCCAAACGCAAGAGGCCACACAGACTCAGAACCACTCAGCTCCCTCTTGCATGCACACCCCACAGGCCCTGCCCGGGTCTCAGTCCTGGCTGCTTGGGCACAGGCTGATGCTAGGTTCCCCGTCTTTCCTGGACAATAAGGGTACGTCTAAATTACATGGCTCCGTCAACATGTAGATTTGTTGTTTTGGCAAAGGGAAATGAAGCCGCGATTTACCTTTCCTATGTGTCTAATCTACATGCCTCTGACGACAGAGGCATGTAGTCTAGACACAGCCTAATTGTCAAGAATCCCCAGAGCGTGGGTCCCTCCCCAGGCTGCAGAGCCAGCAGTCGCCAAGGGTACGTCTAAATTACATGGCTCCGTCAACATGTAGATTTGTTGTTTTGGCAAAGGGAAATGAAGCCGCGATTTACCTTTCCTATGTGTCTAATCTACATGCCTCTGACGACAGAGGCATGTAGTCTAGACACAGCCTAATTGTCAAGAATCCCCAGAGCGTGGGTCCCTCCCCAGGCTGCAGAGCCAGCAGTCGCCTAGAGGAACAGCCTCAACCAGAGAACTGAGGAGGTAGCTCAGGGACAGGCCTCTGGCAGCCATCTTCAACACAGCCAGAAGAAGAGCAAGGACACACTAGAGGCAGCAGGAACGTACATCCAGCCCTTCTGGAACGTCTCAATGAGAAGCCTTCCTGCCTGGCTGCATCTTGCTGCGAGGAGTCATCTCCCTAGGTACCTGCACCCGCCGTTCCCGTCATTGCCAGGGGCAGGACATCTCAGACCAAAGAGTGGGCCACCTGCTCCAATGCCCGCCATTGGGGCGTGTTGGACTGGGGAGACTGTTCACTCCCCGCGACCAGGCCCCGAGCTCGCTCTGTCTAGGCAGGTGGCAGGTTTTCTAACCCTCGCTGAGCCCTTGCAATGCGCATGCACCCCTGGAGGGTGGGCCCCGGGGCGGCACACGTCACCCAGGGGAGTGGCAGGTCTGGGGCGTGTCGCAGGGAGGGGCGGGAGGAATGGCTGGGATGGGGCCGTGGGTTGCGAGATCAGCAGTGCGTGGGCTTGTCACACACAGGAAAGCAGCAGCTCTCAATCACGACTTCGCCCATGGGTGCTTAACAAATGGGTCGCTGAGCGTGACGGGCAGAGACCCCACCCCCATTCCAGAGCTGAGGCTGCTTCCACCCGGGCCCTTCACCTGTCGCAAGCGTGGCAGGTACCTGCTGCTAGCCCCTGTGCTAGGCGCACTGCTATTGCATCCAGGCTGCCTGAACCTCCGCTGGCTTCCTCCCATAAGGCGTCTCCAGCTACGTGCAGGGCAGCATCTGGGAGTTAGGGGATAGCGCAATGGCCAGTCAGCCGTCAGGTCCCGATGTCTCGGGGAGGCCGGCAGGATCTCTTCCCCTGTGAATTGCTTTTCCAGGAAGGGATCGACAGCGAGGGATGCAGAGGTGCAGCTGCCTTCTCTGCCTCCACGGAGCCCTGTTTGAGTAAGTGTTCAGGGTCCCTGCCGGGCATTTAGCTACACGCTCTGGTAGCGCAACCTGCGTTGAACACGAGCCCCATGATTCTATCCCTGGATTTGCCTGCAACCCCCACTTCTCCACCCCTGCCCCGAGCCCCCCACATTCAAATTTCTTACAGGTACTATTGTATCTCAACCCCCACCCTGAGCCCCTGGGGGTTCGATACGCCAGCACCTGCAGGAAATCCGTTACTTTCACCTCTGGATAAAACCGCTGTGCTCTCAGGAGTGCAAACAATCCAGGCTATTCTTACTGACATGAGCCCCTCATCCCATGTCTGTGTGCACCTCCCTGCAGCAAAGTGATTGCTCCCTGGTCGTGTCTAATCAAACTCAGCCGGCACCTGCCAGCGCTGGCTCTGCTCTCCCAGCTAATGGACTTGTTACATGGGAAAGGAAATTGGGTTCGATCGGTGCAGCAAGGGGAGCACCCAGCACCGGAGGGGCCATGCAGGAAGTGCTGCGACTGACCTGAGCCTCCTGGCTCCCCGCAGCGGCGCGAGAGGGGAAGAGACGCAGCTGGCACACAGGGCAGAACGCAATTTGTGGGGCCAGGTTGTCTGACAGGAGTGAAGTTGCCAATGGCAGTGGCGGGGCTCCTTGGCAGCCTGGAGGAAAGGTGCCTGACAGCGCCGCCCCTGCCTCGGGAGCCCTCTCTGCTGCTGCTCCCTGGAGCCGCTCTGAGTTCAGAACAATCGCTCAGCAGCAGCCAAGTCCTGTGGAAGGCTGGGTGGCTCTGCAGGGCCCAGCATTAGGCACACAGGAGCTGCAGAGCCTTTGGCAACAGCAGGAACCAGAGTAGAGGAAAACTGCAGGGAGCAGACACTAGCAATGAGGCTCCAGCTGGGCTCTCGATTACGCCATCTTTCCTGCCCACTCCAGTGTGTGAGAAGGGCCGAGCTTGCTCCGACATGGCGTGTGCCCAAGTCACACAAAGCTGGGCCTGCTCACTACTGGGAGGAGACGCCTGTTCCAGGGTTTCTCAGCCCACAGGCTGGGACCCAAAGTTGGTCACCAGCGTTACAAAGGGCTGAGGTGGCTTCTGCCCCACGGGTTGGCTGGACTCGCCTCCCCACACCAGGCACCACAACCTCTCTGGGCCCAGCCCTTGTGACCACAAGAGCCCAGGGAAGCCAAATCGGAGCGAATGGTATTGCAACCCGGGCCAGGTCACAACCCCACGCACACAAATCTGGCCCCCAAGCTGCGACCTCAGAAGCTGCAATGCCAACAGCAGACAGCAAGGTCCAGTCAGCCCCACAGCAGAGGTGGCAGATGCCCTCGCTATGGGGTTACTGCTAGGCTGGACCCAGCCCCTCAGGGAGCCAGGAAACTGTTTCCACCCCAGCTTATTTACTGGGTCATGACCCAGCCACAACTTGGCTGCAAGGATCTAAAGCTGCGATGGGGAAGGTCTAGGATGGACATTAAGAAAAACTATTGCACTGGGGGGTGGGGGGCACTGGAATGGGCTCCCTAGGGAGGGGGTGGAATCTCCACCCCGAGAGGTGTTTAAGTCCTGGCTTGACCAAGCCCTGGCTGGGAGGGTTCAGTTGAGTTGGTCCTGCTGTGGGCAGGGGCTGGACTTGACGACTCCTGAGGGCTCTAGCCCTGGGGTTCTACCCTCTCTGTTAAAAGTTTGTACCTTATTTCCAGTTTTGAGTTTTTCTAGTTTGAACTTTCAGTCTTGGGATCCCATTCTGCCTTTGGCTGTGGAACAAAAATACTTGATAGCATCCGATACAGTCTCCCGGTCGGCAATTACAGGTTGGGACCGAGTCACCTCTGAATCCTCCGCTGGCGAGCTGAACAGATGAGCTCCTCGCGCCTCTCACTGGAAGCAGCTTTCCAGACCCTGACCTGTACTTGCAGCTGTTCTTGGCACTCCTCCAATGTCACTTTAGACCACAGACACCAGCACGGTGCTTAATCTTCCAGTTCCAGGAACGGTCCAACCTACGACGTATGCTGAGGTAATAGATTTGTCCTACTCCCATTTGACAGTGCCCTGTATTCAAGCAATAGCATCACTGAGTTCCCCCCTTACTCCCAAGGAGCCCTCACGGCAGGCTAAGTTCCTTCCAGCTGCCGCAGATGCACCATATGGCTCCTGCATCACATCTCCCACTTCTGAGGCAACAAATGGGCCTGACTTCCGAGGTTTTCACCAGGCTAAATCTGCTCCTATCTCCCCACCACTAGGGCCTCCTTCACTCTGACCCACTGCAAGCACAGTAAGACGCTGCATCAGCGTGGGACTTTCACAGCTAACAGCAGGAACGTCCATGGCCACAGCTCTCATGGGCGTGCTTCAGCTGAAGGCCAGGTATAAAGGCCTGCAGAGCAGGTCTGACCTGCTGGCAATGACGCCAGTGCCCCAGCTGGAACACAGAATTCTAAGACCAGCCATGGTGGTAAGAAGGAACTAAGGGAGGTCTGGGGCGGAGCTGCCTCATGTAGCCAGGACAGGGGCTATGGCCACAAGGCCATACTGGGACTGCTAGGCAAATTTTTCTAGGTGTGCTGGGCATGCACACACCAAAGTAGAATACACAGCATCACCTACAGAAAGGAGAAGGAGATGACTTTTTAATCAGGCTCCCCTCAGAACTTTACTAGCTGTACTGGAAGCTGCCCAAAGTTCAATTTGATAGTGAGAACTACCCAGCATGAGGCCTGCTGTTTCCAAGGGCTCTGTTCAGCCTCCACCTCTGCCTGTTTCAGCTTCCCTTCAAACTACTTCAATTAAGTGCCTGTGCCAGGAAGGAAGAACAAGTCCCACCAGCGCAACAAGAACTAAACCAGCCTCTGTGCTGCTTCAACTCAAAGCACCTTCTGAACTGCTCTCTGTGGCAAACTCCACGTGGACCTGCACACCTCTAAGGACATGCACACCTTGAAGAGGCTACATGCATTCCCCATGCCCCATAACAAGTGTGGGACATCTACCTCCCTTCTGTCAAAGGTAGCTTGAGAGGGAAAGACGATTATATTTAGATATGCTAACAAATATCACGGCTGTTTTGCTTACTCTTCAGTTTCTGAGGAGGGATTGTTCCTGGGCCATTTCCTTGCTGCTAGCAATTCTACCCTTCCTAGAGAAAGGGGACTGGCCCCAAGCCTCATCCAGCCAGTTTCATGCTATGCTTTTTTAACAGAGTGGTGCTTGAACGTCTGGGATGCTGGGTCAAATTCCCAAGAGTTTGGAAATGACCAAGAAGAGCTTCAGCATAAGTTACTGGAGGCCTCTTCACTGCCATGACTTCCCAAGACCTTGAGCACCACCTCCTGGCCATGCTTGGACTCAGAGTTCATTTCATGTCAGGTGTCTTCTGTTTGCTTCTGACTTAAAATCCTCAGGGGCAGACAGCCTGAGCGTGTGCGTGAATGAGGGACATCCAGGGACGGGGGCACTTCACTACACGGTGCAGAGTTTCAGCGAGATGATCCACGTGCTGTCGGAACCATCTCACGGGGCAGTATATCTGCCTCACCGGGCCTTTGCTTCCAGCAAGGAAAATGCCACCATGGCCATTTGCTCACATCCTAATAGGGGTATTATGCAAGGTAATTGGCAATACAAGTTTGGACTATTTAATCCCAACAGTCTCAGGCTAGCGGTTGTGAGCAACCAGCACAGGATGCAGTTGGAAAGCCAGGATCTGTTCATCTTCTGCTCTTGTGTGGCACTGGGCAGCATGATTAAATGGGCACAGCTCACCACGGGGGCGTGGGCCACGAGGCACAAGGGAGGATCATTGCTCACTGTAAATATTGCAGAGGCAGGGTTCAACCTTTTGGCATGAGGGAAAGGAAGATAAATGCTACTAGTTCCCTCTGAGCTGCAGGAACCCTGGATCCATCTAATTGCACTTCATAATGGATTCAGCAAACCATTAATTATCAGATTATATTTTAGGAAACTGCAGATAAAAAAGCTTTGTGAAATTTGGTCTTAAAGGGGCCACTACACCACAGTGAAGGTTTTGCATTGTGCTGGCATGGACACATTATGTAAGGTACGTGAAAGCATTTTACAAAGCCATGCATTGTGTGCCTCAGGGGAATGGCTGTAGCAATTGTGGCAGCCATTATATGCTCAGAGAAATATTTGCATTAGTGCCAATTCATTGGTAATAGTATTAAACGCCTGAGAAATGATGGGCCACAGAGATCAGATTAGCGGCTTCTCTCTCCAAACACTGCAGCTTCTGCTGCACTAAAGAAGGCAGGGAGCTCTTGCGGCTTTGTCATCACACAAAGAGGATATGAGCTGTAGCTGTCCAGCTGTGGGCCTGACCACACTTCACGGAGGGCATGAACTAGAATAGCTGCACTGTGCTGACAGCCTTGGTGCGACTGGTCAGGGTTAGGCTCTGCCTATACTAGGCATCGCTAACCCTTGCTAGAGACAGGTTAACTGAGCCATCAGGGGCTGCCAGAGGCGAGTGGATTTTACTTGGGGTTGGAGCTCCCTGTATACCATAAGCACAGGCTAAGTAGCTCCAGGTTGTTAGGTGAAGCCAGACCAGTGCGGGGGAGATGCAAGAGATATGACGGATGGGTGGACACCTTTCCCGGGGGCTCTGCAGAAGAAAGGCAAGGGCCATTTGCTGAAGTCTTACAGGGCCCAAAACACTCCCCAAGTTAGCGAATTTGGTGCCTAACTGTCCTGGGTAAAGGAGAGATTGAGGCTGGGCCACTTCCCCCTGCACAGCTGCCTTCTCAGTAACAGACAGCTAATGAAGCAACGATTGGTCTATTGCAGACTAACACAGCTACGCCTCTGAAATGTTTGAGATCGCTAATTAGATACTTCACCTCCGCCGAGAGTTGACCCAGCATCCTGTACCTGTGCACAATGGCTTGTCCCACCTGCTTGCTGAGACCCTACAGCTGCCAGCCGCACACACTTGGTTTTCAGTCCCATGACTAAACTTTGGATTGCCCTTTACCAGGTGAAGATGCCACTCAGGGCAACGCCCTGGAACCCTCAGCCTGAACCCTCAGCCCTACTGCAGCCAAGTTTTCTGTGAGTCTATTTGGGTGTAAGAGCTCCAGCTCACTCATGGACACAGCTGGTTTTCATGCTGCAGAGCAAAACTCTGTGACATTCAGTCTGCAGAACCAGGCCCTGAGACTTGCGCCACGGGTTTAACACACAGTGTAGACACATCTACAGGTGCAGCCATGTGAGAGGGGCAAGAGAAGAAATGAAGCAGTGTGCTGGAAGCTGCCTTCTCTATGCCCTTGAGACCCTAATTTCTCCATGAGCATCTGCCACCAGCACCCCAACGCAGTTGAGAGCAGCTCTCAGCTCGGATTGATTACTGAACTGGCAGCCCTCAGCTCTTTCTGTGACTGACAAACTTCCTGCATCTCCCTCTTCTGCTTCCCGCCCTTCCCGCAGGTTCATGCCGTCTTTGCTTAGCTGTGCTCTGTTTCTCTCTTTTCCCGTCACCCAAACGGTTTGTCCCTCAGGAACAGAGCACACTGCAGCCCACCACCCCTGCTAAGGAAGGCAGCGCTCCTGGATCCATGACTTCCAAGCAGAGTCTCTTGCGTTCTCATGCCATGTGCCTGCAATGTCTTTTTGCTCCAGCCTTACTGGAGAAAACGAGACTACGACTGCCAGAGCAGCACATCTCGGTACATAAGCCAATGAGCCAGCCGTGGCCTCCCTTTCAGGTGCTTCCAGCCATCTCTCACTTAGCCTCTTCGCAAATCAGAGTTACTTTGTCATCAAACAGGTCCTCCATAGTCACCGCCACCAGCTCAGAGCCATCTTGGTTAGCGTGGGGATCTGGCAATGCCACAAAGACCTGGGAGCCAGCAAGCTGGGCTTCATCCAAGGTGATCATCTGCTCGGCTGCTGCTCCTTGCTCTGATGTCTGAATCACCTGAACAGGAGAAGCGAGGAGACACTTAGAGCTAGCTTTCCTCTACCCTGCTCCAGCATGCGCATTGTTCTCAGCTGAGCTCTAACGAGAACATTTGCTTTCACGCCAGAGCAGTGCAATTACAACAGGCATGAGCCTAATGGAAACTCCAAGTCACATGCACCAGTGATGAAAAAAAGAAGCCAAGCAAGCAATTTAAACATTTCTCTCCACAAAATTGCTGTAATTGAGCACCATACGCAGCCTTGGGTAATAAAGAATCTATGATAACACACTAGCGGAACAGCATCCCAGGGAATCTTGCACTGGCGCCCACATCCAAAAAGCTATTCTCTACCAATAGCTTCAATATTAAAGGGACAGGATGGAATTCAGGCCTAAAATCTGGCCTTACAACATCGTTACAATCTAGTGGGCAATGTTATCTGGATTCCTGCAGCCTCCTTCCTTCAGTAACAAGTCTGCTCCACACACCCTGCCAGCACTTCTGCCGAGAGCACAGGAGGCAGGCTGGAGGTAAAGGGCTGTTCGTGATGGGGAAACCAATTCAGTTTGAATGACGCCTCAGCAGTTTCTAAGTGGTGTCAATACACAGACAGGGCTCCCTCTCCCTCCCCCCAAACCAGTCACATCCCAGTGCTGTGCCTAGCAGAGCCCCAGGAGTGCCAAGCAGCCAGACGCAGGCTTTCCTGGATTCCTCAAACGAGAGAGCTTGAGGGTGGGGGGAGGTGTGGAGCAGTAGGAGGCGAAAGCAGGGAAGCTGGGGAAGCCCACCAGTGCACAGGGTGACGGGGCTGGGAGGAAGGATCCCCGGGAGAGACATTCTCCGGGGTTGCCTGACACTGATGGCTGCTGCCAGTGACGGGAGGAGCCAGGAACCTGCAGTAGCTGGGCAGTGGTGGCCTGGCAGTCTGTGAACGTCACCTTTGGGTGCTCAGCGCTGTAGTGATCCTGCAGCTGCTCCCGAGCGGGGAACAGCTCCCCACACAGCCCACAGGTGAAGGTGCTCTCTAGCTGCTTGAAGTGCTCAGTGGTGACATGGTGCTGCAGGGCTCCCGGGAAGCGGAAGGAGGCCGTGCAGTACAAGCAGCGAAATGGCTGGGTCCCTGTGCAGGAGACATGGAGAAAGCCTCACTCGGAGAGGAATATATGGGAGGGGCAGAGAGCCAGGGCTGGGGCAGGCCTGGCCGGAAGGAGTGCGATGCAGACGGCCCCGGGGAGCAGAGTGACAGGCTCCGTGCTGTGTGCGGGGTGGGACACTGAGACCCTGTGCTGGAAGGGATCCTGCCGGGCTCTGCAACTGCACTACAGCGTGCACTGCTTGGGGTGTCACTTCTATCTTGTCCACCTGTCTTACAGCTCTTCCCACAGCCCCCTCCCCACCTCCCCGCACTGGCTTGATCACCTCCCCGCTTGATCAGTTCCCACCAGCTCAGCCTGGTCTCTTCCCATCTCCCCTTCTCCCAGCAGCTCAAATCCAGAGCCCAGCGCCACACTCACCCTCTTCCCTCTGGAGCTATTTACCCCAACTTGGCTTCCATCCCTGCCCCCATCACCTCATACCCATCTCCCTCCATTCTCTCTCCTGCTGTCTCTGGAACACACACCCCCTCCACAGCCACCCACTCCCTCTTCTTACCTTGCTTTACTTGAAACGGCCCCTGCCTCTGCCCTCTTCTTATGCGCCCTAACCTGCACAAGACCCTGGTGGGGCTGCTGGGCTTCTCCTCCCCCATGATTGCTGCTGCAAACCTCTCCCTCTCCCCCTCCCATGCCTCCTCTTTTGAGCAGCACTGCATCCAGCCCTCCCCTCCCCTGCCAGGCCACTGTCATGTACCCTCCATCAGCTGACCCCTCCGATCTCTCCTCACACTTCAGACTATAGGGCCAGAAGGGACCATTGTGATTAGCTAGCCTGACCTCTGGTACACCTCGGCTATAGGTCTAGGGAAGTTATAATTCAGGGATGGGAGCCTCAGACCCAGGGGCCGGAGCTTGCATGGATCTGGCCCCCGAGGCTCAGCACTGGGGAGCCCACGCTGCTCTCCAGTCCCCCTGCCAGTCACCCGCAGGGCTGGAGCACACAGAATCTACTAGCCTGGGCCTCCCTAGGCTCTGGTGTGCAAGGCGACCGTGACGAGTGTCCTTCTCCTTCTCAGTCAGGGCCTTTTACTTGTGTCTGGCTCCTGACTGATTTTTCTGTGGGTCAGTGGCCCCCAACCCAAAAAAGGTCCCCACCTCCATACACACCGTGTAATACGGTAACTGGGTCACTGCTACAAAATCTGAGCAGTTACATGCACTGCAGGCTCAGCTTTATACTGCAGAGCCCGCAGCAGCGCCTCCCCAGGAATGGGGCCATTAGTCCCTGCCAGCCTGGCTCCCGGGGAGGCGCCGATGCCCCGCCCCAGTGAAGCCGCCTCTCTAGGAGCTGGCTGAGTTTAACTGATGCCATTAACTGATAAGCATCAGCTTATCGGTAAATCCACTAAACTCTGCCATCACGAGACAGCACTGACTGGAATTAATTCCTGTTTGAACTAGAGCAGATCACTGAGAAAAACCACCCAATTTTGATTTAAAAGACCATTGCAAGATCCAGCTCACCAATCCTGAGCCTGGCTCAGCCCCAAATCAGCTTCCTCCCTCCTGCTCTCGTACCACAGTGTGTCTGTGGCTAAATTCCTGCAACCGTGGTGACTTCCTCCACTACGCATTTGTTCTGGTCTCTATGGCTGTGTCTAGACTGCAAGCCTCTTTCGAAAGAGCGTCTACACTACAACCAGTACTTTCGAAAAGCAAGCCGCTTTTTCGAAAGAAAGCACCCAGGCAGTCTGGATTCTCCTTTTCGAAAAAGCACAGTTTGCATTACATAGCGCCTTTTGTCACGTTGCTGAATTGGAGGGAAGCAGCCAGATCGCTGCTGCACCCCTAGGTGGGGATGTTGGCCCCAGAAATTGGTATGGGGGGAGCCATGTGGGGTATTGAATGGGAGATTATTGTTTGTTAATCTTATGTACAATATTTATGTGAGTGTATAATGTCGGTGTGTGTAGGTAGGAATCTGTAATCTGTGTGGAAGCTGAATATTTCTGTGAATGTGGTTAAGCATGGCTATGGACAGGCTGAGTAGCAAAGCCCTGTGGAACAATGACTCTCAATAGGCTATGGACACACCCAAAGAATGGGATTTGTCACCTGAGGGCAGCCAGCAGGAAACATAGAGATTGGCCTCTGACCAGGTGACTTGCTGCATACAAGAAGAGGCCAGGAAGGAGTATAAAGAGGCCATGTGGTCGATGCCATTTTGTTCTCAGCTCAGCACTTCATCCCAGAGGCAGCACTGCAGGGATTGAAGAGCCCGGAAGACCTGTGAACCCATCCTGATGCTAGGATGCGCAACAAGGACTTTTAACCAAGCAGCTGCAACA